GAGCAGGGGAGGAGGAAGATGAGCATGGCGAGGAGACTCTGCTTCCTCCGGTGTGAGGCTCCCCCACCGAGGAAATTGTCAATTAGCGACATAGTTTTAACCACACAGCGCAGATTCCCATGATCCGGTGGCTGCTCAGCCAGAAGTCCCCATTATTCGTGTTTATGTCCCCTGGGAGGCCGGCAGCCCTGCGAGATCAGGACCCCACCGCGCTGCCGGCAGGACCGCAGGGGTTTGCTATGGCTTCAAGCACGAGCAGCAGCCACGAGGGCTGGGGACCTGATGCCCAGCTCTGTGCCTCAGTTTCCCCATCTGCAACGCATGGAAGGGCTGGGGGTGGAGGAGGAGGTGGCCGGGCAGGGGCTGAAGGAGGGACAGAGGGAGCCGGACTGAGCTCCTGTGGGACGCCGGCACCGCAGCCCTCCCCATCGCTGCCTCCCCGCCTCTGCCCTCGGGGCACAGGATCAGGCCCCCGATGCGTTTCGACCCTTTATGTCCAGAGGCGCTGCAAACCCCCAGCCTTTCCCCTCATGGGAAAAAGTCATTCCCTGCCCTCAGCAGCTCCGAAGGGATGGAGCGGGGATGGAGCAGGAAAGCACGGAGACAGACACAGGAGAGAGTCCGCCACCAGACACAGGCAACACCCCGCTTGCAAACCAGTTTACAGAAATGTGGCTGCTAACAGATTTGCCTGCTTTTACTGGTCTGCACAGCGGGGTTGCACCAAAGGGGGGCCCACAGCCGTGCGCCCCCCTTCCCTCTCCCTGCCCACCCTTGTGCCCATCACCGTCTGCCTCAGTTTCCCTAGCAAGGTGATGAGCGACACCAGTGCTGTACCGGTAAAGCCGGGAGGTGGGCTGGGGCAGCCCACAGCCCCCCCCGGGCACATGGCACGCGTGCTCACCCAAAAGCGCTCTGGGCAGGTCAGCTCGCACCGCACCGGCGGCCGCCCACTGCCCACCGCCCCCTCCTCAGCCCCGACCTCTGGAGCTGCTGAATCATGTCTTGGGAAGCATCTGCCGCCTGGCCGCGCCGCCCCGGGCTCCCGGCGGCCCCCACGCACAA